TTATTTGAAAGTCCACATGAGAACTCACACAGGTGAGAAGCCGTACTCTTGTAACATATGTGGAAAAAGATTTTCTCACATATCAACACAGAGAAGGCACACAGCAATCCACAAAGAGGAAAAGCCATTTTCTTGTGGAAAATGTGGGAAAAGTTTTCATTATCGGGATACCTTGGTGCTTCACATGAGAACTCACACAGGTGAGAAGTCATACGTTTGTAACACATGCGGAAAAAGTTTCATTAAAGATAGTAATTTGAAAAGCCACATGAGAACTCACACAGATGAGAAGCCATACCCATGTAGCAATTGTGGGAGAAGATTTAGACTCAGATTTGATTTGAAAATCCACATGAGAACTCACACAGGTGAGAAGCCATACGTTTGTAACACATGTGGAAAAAGATTTTCTCACATATCAACACATAACAGGCACACAGCAATCCACAACGAGGCAAGGCAATATTCTTGTGGAACATGTGGGAAAAGTTTTCATCATCGGAATAGCTTGGTGCTTCACATGAGAACTCACACAGGTGAGAAGCCGTACTCTTGTAACTCAAGCGGAAAAAGATTTTCTGGCCTATGAGGACATAAAATGCACACAGCAATAAATTTGTGATTTAGGTCATTTTTACATGACATAGACAAACATCCTCCGAGACACAAAATGCAGGTTTACCAAACAGTACATGATGACAAATATACAGGGACACTTGATACCTCAAGCAGCACTAAACAGATTTTATGTGTCATCTTCCTTCTGATCTTCTGTTCAGCCGATGTTTTGGACAAAAAAATATAAAAGGCCTCCAAATGCTTTTAAACAAGTCCTTTTTTTCCTCTCAGCAGGTATGTAATCCATTCCAATGGAAGTGTAGCCAACATCTGTTTAACCCAGCGTCCAATGCTCGGTGGGCTAATGTTTTTCCAGTGTAATGCAATCAATCTTTTTGCTTGTAGTAGACAAATATCAATAAAGAGCTGCTCATTTTTTTGTAAATCTTACGTGTTTGGGATATAAACCTAAGATTATAAAAGAAGGATTCAATGGTAAGTCTTTAGAGACAACATCTTTCACAGATTGTTTTATTGAAACCCAGAATGTCTTAATTTCCCTACATTCCCAAACACAACGGAACAGTGTTCCTTTTTCTTCTCCACATTTTGTACATGTATCTGGAATACTTGGATTATATTGGTTTAATTTCACCGGAGTAACATAAACACGCATGAGCCACTTGTATTGTAATAATCTCAACCGAGAATTAATAGTTTGCTTTTGGGCTTTATTACAAGCTAATTCCCATTCATCTAATGACAGATCTGTTTCCAAATCTTTCTTCCAAGCTTCTAATTTTGAAGTTGAATTATCAGAAGAATTTGACAACAATAGCTTTTACATTTCTGATATTTTTCTCTTTTTAAAGCAATTTTTACTAATAATTTCTTCTAATTTAGAAATAGGTGGTTTCAATAAATTGTTTTGTTTTGTTCCTATGTAACTTCTAAGTTGAAGATATTTGAAAAAAAAATTTCCTCTGTATGTTGTGTTTGGATCTAAGTTCTTCAAATGACATCATGCAGTCGGAGCCTGTTGGGTACAAATCTTGAATCTTCTCCAATCCTTTTAGAGCCCATTGCTTAAACACTGCGTCGGCTCTCCCAGGAACAAAATCTTGATTTCCCCAGATTGGAGTCAGGCGTGACAGAGTAACCGGTTCTTTTAGATGTCTCTTGACACTGTAGCATATCTTAACCATATTTTTTACGATTGGGTTTCCAGTTTTCTTGATCAAATTAAGCTCTGTGTCAGAGAAATGGTACAAGGGTAATGCAGGACTTAAGACATTACTTTCCATTTCTGTCCACTGGGGGGCTTCATTTGTACTAAAGTAATACCCTATTGATCTGAGCTGGGCTGCCCAATAATGCCACACAATGTTTGGGCACGTTAGGCCTCCTTCATTGTAAGGCAAGTGGAGTAAAGACAGTCTTATTCTAGAACGTTGTTTGGACCATATAAATTCAAGGAGGAGTTTTTTGAACGTTTTAAACCAGTCAGCAGGTGGTGGCAAAGGAATATTCTGAAAAACATACAATAATTTTGGAATTGTAGTCATTTTGTAAATATTAATTTGGCCAATCAGAGACATGGGAAGAAGCATCCATCTATTGACACTATTTGTAATTTCCTTAGTTACTGATTCATAGTTATGCTGAACGATCAAATCTAAATTTGGAAAAATTTGTATTCCTAGCTAAGTAAATTGAGGGACCGATTTAAGTTGTGAAAAGACTGCCGGTGGAGACTCTCTCTCTCCTTCATCTAGCAATAAAATAGAGGATTTGGATCTGTTAATTGCATATCCTGAGATGTGACCAAACTCATCAATTAGTTTTAACAGAGCAGGAATAGTTACATTTAATTGAGAAAGGAATAAAATTATGTCATCTGCATATAATGAAAGCCTATGTTCTACCTGACCAATTGTGATTCCAGTTACATGTGAATGTCACCGTACAGCTATAGCAAAGGGTTCCATGGCTAAAGTGAATAGCAAAGGAGATAATGGACATCCTTGGCGGCATCCACGTTTAACTAAAATGGGTTTGGATATGTTTTTGTTCGTTAAGATCTCTGCAGTTGGGTGTAGATATAGCACTTGTACCCATTTTCTAAATTTAGGTCCGAGACCAAAGCGAGTTAACACATAAAGATAAGCCCACTCTACCCTATCAAACGCTTTTTCAGCATCTAGGGAGAGGAAGGCAGTATCTGTAGTTTTCTCTAATCCTTGAATAATGTTGCGAACGCTCCTTACATTATCTAGTCCTTGGCGACCTAAAATAAGCCATTTTGAGCCCTGTGAATGATTGAAGGAAGTATTTCCTGTAAACGTGTTGCTAATATTTTACAAAGTGTTTTTAAATCTGAATTCAGCGGACTTATTGGCCTCATATTTTCACATTTATTGCTAGGTTTCCCAGGCTTAGGCAGTAAGATGATTAACGTGTTAGTCATTGAGTGAGGAAGGTCACCCTCTATAAATGCTTCTTGTAACATTTCCAATATTGGTTTTACTAACTTTCCCTTAAACTTTTTATAAAAGTCAGTTGGAAACCCATCAGGTCCAGCTTTTTTACCTGTGCTCATGGCATCAGTAACTTCCATTATTTCCTGTTCACTGATATTGGCATCCAAGTGTTGTTTAAGGTCATCTGTAATATTTGGTATGGTCACTGTGTCAAGAAATATATTTTGTGCATTTGGGTCGATACTCCCCTGTGAATCATAAAGTTTTTCATAATAATTTCTGAATTCTTTATTTATCTCAATTGGGTTCACAACAGATTCCCCTTTTGTGTTTGTTATTGAGGTTATGTTTTTTTGTGCTTCCAATTGTTTTATTTGCCACGCTAAAATCTTCCCAGGCTTTTCTCCCTGTTCATAAAAAGATTGATTTAACCTGAATATATTAGAGGCTGCCCTGTCCGCTGATTCTTTATCATATCGCGCCTTAACAGCAACAGCTCTTTCTCAACTAATGAATTTTGATTACTGAACAATTGTTTCTCTAGATTTTTTATCTTTTCTTCTAGTTGTTGTCTTTTATTACGCTGTTCCTCAGATTTTGAGAAGGTGTACGAAATTATATAACCCCTTAAACAGACTTTAAAAGCTTCCCATTTAATACAAACTGTGGTTTCTGTCGTATTTATGTGAAAGTATTCATCAATTTTGGTCTCTACATAACTAACAAAGGCTTCATCTTTAAGCCATTTTAGATGTAAGCACCATCTAGGGGGATCTGTCATTAAAGTTTTATGAAAATATTGCAGATTACATGAAGCATGATCTGATATTGTAATACTGTCATAGGAACAATCGACCATATTAGATAACAAGTCTGCTGAAATCAGAAAGTAATCTATATGAGAATACGTTTTGAATATTTTAGAATGACATGAGTATGTTTTATCAGTCGGATTAAAATGTTGCCAAATATCTATCATCTGCAGCTCCTTCATAAAGTTCTGGATGATTTTTCTGCTTTTATGATGATTCTGGTCAATTCCCGTAGGTCAATCAAGGAGAGGATTCAAAACACAGTTCCAATCACCACCAATGATGTTTTTTCCTGGGAGAGAGGAAATGGTTAGAAAGAGATTTGTAAAAAAAGAGGCATACAAAGAGCCCTGCCACCTCCTGCTTATCCAGATATTTTCATCCTCAAGAGTGTGGCTCTCTTGTAAGAAAACTATTTTAGAGCCCAAATCTTTAATTTTGTTCATAACCTGCTTGATCTTTTTAGTTGTTAGTAAACCCCTGCAATTCCAAGACGTGCATTTAATTTAAAATTTTTGTCATCTAAACCAAGCATCAAGTACCTTAATATTACAAAATGTAAATGTGTCTGAGAGGTCACACACACTAAAAGACTGGAGCATGAAGTGAAAGCTCCAAACTGCACAAAAACAAAAACCCTCTTCCCAGCTAACTGGGTAACCCCCAGAAATACCTTACTTCCGACCGCAAACATCTACAGATCTACGGGATCTGCTCTACTGTCAGTAATGAACCATATCCCAACATTCGTCTGCTACTGTATTTAAGTAATGTATCCTTCTTAAGACAAGGTGAATACTTGCTTTGTTTGAAAATAAGGGAAAAGCTTATTTATCAGTTTGCAATTTACATTAAATATGTTGAGCTTATCATCTAATAGAAACAAATAAACAAGATAGATCTCACCAAATAGGTCTGCAAAGTAAACATTTAACAACAGTACGGAAGTGCTCCAGTCAATCTATTTCTTCAGTGTCCATTTGAATCTTTTTAACAAAACTCTTTGCCTCCGCAGGGGTTTTGAACTTGTGGACCTTCTCCTTGTAGGTCAGTACCAGCGTCGCTGGGGACAGAATGCCATGCCTCACTTCAAGTTGGTGCAGCAGGTCGCAAACGGCGTCAAACTGCTTTCGTTGCCTGTGCACCTCCGTAGCCATATCAACAAACAATTTCACACATTGGTTCTTGTAGAAGATATCCGTCTTTGATTTTGCAGCTCTGAAGACCATTTTTTTCTGCTTGTGGTTCAGGAATCTCATGATAACTGTTCTCGGTGGTGCATCTGCGTCCCTCTTTGGCCCGACGCGGTGCGCCCTTTCCAGGACTAAGGGGTGAGGCATAGGATTTAGATCCAGCGCATCCGGCAGCCAGAAACCAACTTTACTTATTTAATGTATGATTTAAAATGTGATCTCCACATGCTGTAATGCTGTACAGGTCAAACTGTGTGAAAACTACAGCCATATGTCATGAATTTAATCTGTCATCTGTTTGTTCCTCATCAGTGATTTATTTCTTGATGGATTATTGGAAATGCTAAACTTGTTTTAAACTCCATTTTGATTGCAAATAAACTTTTAAAAAACTCTGCAGCTCCATGAGTGCTTTGTGAAATGTTATGAATGTATTTAAACAGATTAACATTTACAACTTGTTTAATAATGACTTTAAGGCTGATGAGCCCCAGCAAAGGTGTTATGTTATGAAGCAACACACAATTGGTTTTACTGGTTGTAGCTGATGCACACCCACAAATGTTTAAAAAAAAAAAACATGTCAAGCTAGTTTGCAGTTTCTGCTGTTTCAATAAAGACTTTGTGTTGTTTATTTCTTCTTTTATCACCACATAGGTCATCAGTGTGATTTGTTAGTAGGATCTTATGATGTAGTCAGGTCACTGTTATTTATACAGAACATTTAAAGCAATTGCAACCGAGTCAACGTGCTTTCCAGTAGAGAAGTAAACACAATGTCACTAATTTGCCTCAAAAGTTTAAAAATGAAGAGCCTACAAAATTATTAATGATATTGAAGTGCCTGACTAATTCAAATATTAAGTTAAAGACCCGTGGTATAGAACTGAGGTGTGAAGAAGGAGCTGGCTGGTCAGTGCTTTGATGAGTGGAGGGAGCGATGAGAGCAGAATCAAATCTGTTGAAGAAAAGACTCAGTGTCACCCGTTTCCACCAAGAAGAATCAGGTGCTAGTTCTGTGCTGGTGTTAGGACCAGTGCTTACTTGGTTCAAATCTTGCACCTCATAAGAACTGGTTGCTTTTCCACTGGCAAGGAGCCAAGTTAGAGCCACACCGTGCATCACTGCATATGTAGTCGATTACCGAACAATGCTTGCACCACATGGCATTCCACACAGCACTCCAGACTAACTTTTTTACTGGTGTGACCAACTTTCTTATTTGTTCGCACTTCTCACTTTGTCACAGGCAAAACATATGACTTCCTGAACATTTTCTTATCGATGGACTCTACAATTTGTGATGTTCCCCAAACGCCCCACAGAGCAGGCTGTGGTAGCTGCTGTTGGTGGCTGCGGTGCTCAGACCAGTGTGCGACCAAAATGTCAGATTTGTTCAAGATGAAACTGAGTGATTTTTTTCTCATGTGGTCTTTTCTATGAGTTCAATAAACAGCACATGTAGGTGCGCTCTGTTTTTCATGAGAAGACCACATTTCTAAGTGTAAATACTGGAGTAGACCAAAGTTATGAAATTTCTGTTTTCCACCACTCTGGTGCTGGTGGTGGTGGGACACAATTGTACTGGATTTCAGTGCATCACAGTGTGTACAAAACTTCCATGTGTCCCTGGACTCATTCCAATAAATCAGCGATCGGACCAGAGACATCCTGGTGAAGCACAAAACAAATCACCGCTTGTGTGTCCCATTCATCGATTTCGGTGGTCACGATAGTCCTGCACTCAGCCTCTGAAGTACTCGTTGCTTAGCTCTGGCCCAGAATAGAGTTGGTGCTTGCTAAGCACCAATATTGTGAAGCTGGTGCCGGTGATTTGGTGGTAGAAACACAAAGAACTGGTGCCAAGTCAGGCACGAGCACGGAACTCGCACTGAAACCACTTTGGTGGAAAAGGGGTATTTGTTGGCCCACTCCCGGTCTCCTGCTGTAGCTCCTCTCTCATGGCCTCTGCTGTAACCAGAGATGGCTCTCAGGTCTCTCCAGACCTCCCTTGCGTTATTTTTCTGCAAGTGCGTTTCTGTCTTGGTCCTGTAGCCGGCCCTGCCCTCCCTGATCTTCTTCTTGATCTCCTTCTGCACCCTCCTCAGCTCCTCTTTGTCCCTATATCCAAAAGCTCTCCTCTTCTCCTTCAGCAGGGTTCTCAGTTCTGAGGTCACCCAGGGTTTGTTGTTGGAGAAACATTGTACCTTCCTGGTCGGTATGGTGTTCTCTACACAGAAATTAATGTAGTCCGTTACACAGTCCGTCATTGAATCAATGTCCTCAGCATGAGGTCCACACAGTACATCCCAGTCTGTGGTCTCGAAGCAGTCCCGCAGCGCCTCAGTGGCCTCATCAGACCATGTCTTCACATACCTGATGGTGAGAGGTTGTTTTTTCACCATAGGTATGTAAATAAGCTGTGGTCTCACCAGGTTGTGATCTGAGCGGCCCAGTGGGGGGAGGGAGGAGGAGCTGTATGCATCCTTGGTGGTTGCATGCAGTAGGTCCAAGGTTTTACTGTCTCTGGTGTGGCAGGTCACGTACTGGTTGAATATGGGGAGAGTGACAGAGAGCGATATCTGGTTGAAGTCTCCTGAGATGATGATAAGAGACTGAGGGTGTGATGTTTGTGTGACACCTGGAAAGATGTTCTTTTTGTTTATGTATATATATTGTACATGTATTTACACTTTATTCAGTTGATCAAGCAGAAGCTCCCGATTATTTGGCTCAAACACAATTACACCATCCAGTAGGAGGCAGTACAAAGAGGTGTGTCGTGAGATTACTGCCAGGTAGAAGAAGTTGTGTTCTTCTTTGGGTTGTTATTGCCGTGGGTGTGAGATGTTGGAGTGCGAAAAGAGAAGTGTATGTGTGCTCGCTGTTGCACTGACAGCTTGTTTGTGTTACCAGTCCTGCCGGTGAAGTAATAAAAGTGAGCTTGTGTTTCTACACCATACTGTCGTGGTCTGAGTGGTGTAACAATTTGGAGGTCCCACCAAGATCATAATGAACGTTACTGTTCAACTCTGAAAAACACAGTAATGTTGGACATGCCAGAATGGTAGCTAGCTAGCAAGCTAAAAGTTGAAATGTAGCGTAGCTGGGACGCTGTCTCGTTTTGTTGTTTTTCTCAAGTGTTGAGCTTCAAGCAAGATGTCGGAGGACCGAGAAGAGTTTTTGTTGGAGATTGAAACGAAATTGCATGGACTAACTGTGAAAAAACTGCAGAGAGTTTGTGAGTACTGTAAAATTGCGGGCAAAGTCTCTGAGGACATTAAAAACAAAACTCGCCGTGCACTGGTTAAACACATTATAAAGTTCTGTGAACGTGAGGAGTTCCTGGAGAGGGAAGACGAAGGCATGTCTGTGCTTTTGGAACTGAGTGACACACTCGACACTCTGGGAGAGAACCCGACAGAGATCGACAGCACAGAAGCGGCGCGACTCTACTCTTCACCTGCTGATGAGGGGGAGGAGAGGGGGAGGAGGCCCTCTCGGCACCGCTGGCGTCAGGGGAACGACGGGGAGACCGGACACCGCTTGAGCCGTCACCGGGGCAGCAGTGCGCCTGGGACACAGTGGGGGACGGGGGAACCCAAAGCAGAGGCTAAGACTCCATTGGCAACAACTGCTGGTCTTCAAATGCGTTCAGAAAGGACATCAGAATATATGGACATGTGGGTGAGTCTTCATCCAAAGACACTGTGAGCTTTAGCAGCTTGGAACATCAGATTGAAAGTGGTCTAAGGAAAGGCTATCCAGAACTGGAAATTATGGAAGCAGTGATACGTGCTGTGAACCCTGGCTTGACACTGCGAAGCTATTTAGAGGGGAAAACTGATCTTACCTTAACCACTCTCAGACAAATATTAAGGGCCCACTATGCAGAGAAGGAGGCTACTGTATTGTACCAACAACTCACGAAAGCTGTACAGGGGCCTGGGGAAACTGCACTTGACTTTTTGGTCCGAGTACTTGATCTGAAACAAAAGATCCTGTTTGCATCTGAGCGTGCTCAATCTGGCCTTAAATATAACAAGGAGCTAGTTCATAGCCAATGTTTTCAGTCTATCATGACAGGCTTGTCAAATGATAACATAAGAGCAGAAATGAGAATGTGTCTGCAGGATGAGAACAGTGGTAATGAACTGCTTCTGCAAAGAATGCAAATTGCCCAGTATAATGAGAATGAGAGCGCTCAAAAGATGAAAGCCACAAATAAAGTCACTCATAGGGAAAATCTGAGCACGTTGGAGAGAAGTGAGGATGAAACTGACCCTTTGACAACCACAGTCGTAGCCAAACCCAATAAACCTGTTAAAGAGAACCCTGTGTTTGCAAAAATGGAGGAGAGCAACACTGCAATTAGGGAGCTCACAGGCGAAGTCGCAAGTCTTGTACAAACTGTCCAGTATGGGAAAAAAAATTGTTGGTGATGACCAAGCCAAGAGTCCAGCCAATACATTTAAGAGACCAAAGAGACGATGTGTAGTATGTCAGCAGGACAAAAAGGACTGCAACCATTGTTTCAAGTGCGGCAGTGATACACATTGGGCAAAAGAGTGCAGAGTAGGGGAAAGATGGAAACCGTTGGGAAACTGGCAGAGGTTGTGACAGAGGGATGTGCCGTGACCTCACAAGGAAAGTCCCAAAATGAGCCAAAACTGAACCCTCAAACAGAGCCTGTAAACCTGTTTGCCATAAAGGGGGAAAGAAAAAAAACTGCCCACTCATTGTCCCTCAGCATCTGGAAGGCCAAACGTTAAACTTGAAAGAGACCAACCCCCTTACTCATACAAACCTGATACAAAACGCAAGCAAATTGCACAGCTGGTAGGCAAGAAGTGTCTTGTCTGGTGCAAAATGAACAGCGTTAAGACTCAAGCCCTGTGGGCTACAGGAGCACAAGTGTCCATCATGAGTGAGACTTGGAAATCCCAATACTTACCCGATGCAAGAATCCGTCCCATCAGTGACCTGCTAAGTGAGGATGATCTTTTGGACTTAAGGGTGGCAAATGGCTCAGAAATCCCCTTTCAGGGTTGGGTACCAGTTAGCTTCTGTCTGTGTGATCCAAAAGCTAAAAAGGCAAGGTCTGATGAAATATTAGTTCCCGTTCTAGTGAGCAAGGATGTAGTGCAGAGGCCTATAATAGGTTTTAATGCCATAGAGGAGATGTTGATAGACAGAGAGGACCAGGTTCAGCCTAGTGAAAAAGTAGCCTTACTCAGAAATTCACTAAAATGAGGGTCAGGGAAGGCAGAAGCATTGTTAAACCTCATTCAGGGAGCTACAAATGACAATGAGACTTACCCTGTCCACACAGGACGCACATCTGTCGTAGTTCCAGGGGGACAAATGAAGTGTATCACATGCCCTGTCAGAGCAC